CTCCCCCTCCCCCCAGTTCCGAGGCCTATGATATGAAGCCCGTTTTTTAAAGTACATATACAGTAGTCTGAGGATTCATGACTTGAACAAAATCAAATATGCTTTCATATAATTTGTATTGTATGCATTGGTGGGTTTTGAACTTCATATAAGAATACGGAAAAGTTCTTTAATTATCTTTTTCTTTAGAAAAAAACCAACGCTATGATTAATTCAATTACTTGGCAGGCATACCTATTTGGGGCCACAATAGTTCAAAACTTTATAATAAATATAGGAATATTTAAATAAAATGTGATGATAACGAACAATAAAAGTCAAATAAAACAACACAATTTGTGAGCAGAACCAACACACCGACCTCTGAAAGCAGAGAGGGATCAGAGGGCATGGAGGAGTAAGCATTCTTTGTTGACCGGTCACACCCGCCATGTGCCCCTAGTCATGATCGAGTAAACGGAGAAATCCGTAAACAATTCTTTAAATCATCTTTTTGACAATATGAAGACTACTTTATTAGTTGAGCTTCTAAATATATTGCAAATAAAAGTTTGCAAATAGAATTCCATACTTCTATTCATTTGTCAGAGAGAGAGGGAGGGGGGAGAGAGTAATCTCAGTTTGTGTATTCTTATATGTTTTCAGATATTTAACACAATCGCTACATAATTGTAGCAAAAGACATCGATTTAAATGAGAGCCTCAAAAAATTATTAAGGAGTTAAACAGAAAAAGATCAATGGTTTGAGTTGTCAGTGAACAAATTAATTTTGTTGTTAGTGAGTAATTTCAGAGACTGATTCTGTTATTAAATGGAATATTTTGAAATTTGCATTTTAAGTAAAAATAAAACTGCAAAGCTATGGATTTATTTCATCATTGACGTAAACTTTTTTTTTATTTTGACAAATTATTCAACCAAAGAGAAAACAATGGATCATGAGTTATTATGGAGGAACTAATGTCATCGGTGCTAGGTAGATACAATGTAATATATACACGTTGTAAACTATAATTTGGATTTGCAAAAGCACATAAATTAGCGAAAAATTTGAAAATAGAATTTTTGTCCGTGGAATATCGATTATGTGAAGAAGAGATGAAAGAAATATACATGATAATATATAAATCCCATATGTAATGCTGCATCAACCTGAAAGTTTTCCTTTAAGCAAGGCACATTTTTGTATACAAGCTTTCGTTTCTTTAATTTCCTGTAGTATTTTCAAATACCATTAGAAGGGCGATCTCTAAAACTTACTGAAATGGGAGATGGTATCAGATATTAGAAGTATAATGTGTAGAATTTATGTATTTTTGCAGAGTTATGTCTTTAGAAAATTCTGATCGGAAACTACGAACTATTGCCAATTGTGAGCATACTATGCAAAACACGTACATTTTTGCAGAATTTTGCGATTTGCCAATACGTAGAATTATAATAAAGAGCAGCAATCAATATATAAATAGTTATATATTTTGTATTTTTATACCCTCTTTAAAAGTTAGGGTATATAATGATGGGTGTCCTTCCGTAGGTCTGCAACACTTATGGGTACTAATTTCTTATCTGTAAGTCTTCTTATACCACAGAATAAAATTTAAAGAGACTCTCAGAAAAAAATGACTTTACCATTGTTAAAGTCATTTTTTTTTTCTATTGGAAATTCCAATGTCTATCATTACAAAACTAAATATATCGGAATTTCACATAAAATGGTAGTATGTGATAAAAATTTTGTAAAGTCTCATTGAATTAAACTGATGGTATAGGAGGAGTTGCCCATGTTTGGCTATTGAAAACCCCAGATATATGTCCGATCAAAACATAAAAAAGGAGGTGCTCAACGACAATTTATAATGAGGATTTTCTGAGAGTCTCTTTAAATTTTAGGATATAATTTCAATATGGAATTAAAACCAAAGTACTTAAGAATCTTGATCATTGAATTATGATGAACACGAATGCGCACGTGTAAACAGGTAATGACCGTAGAGCATATTTTGCAGATATTTAAATACCCTTACATGTAACTTCCAGGTGAGGATATAAATAAACACTAGATAAATAACAAGGATATGACAGTACATACGGCCGCCATTACTGAAATAAGGTAATGAATTTTCTTAGAAATTATATACATTATAGAATTTTCTTCATTTTTTTTTCAATATTTTTACAATCAATAACTGTAATTTGTCTGTTACACAGAATACTTGTCTTGTATATTTTTGGCATGATTATATCTTAATTTTTTTTTTCAACTTTCGGTTTTGCAAATTGTCAAACAGGGTTTTCTGAAGTTCCCAATCCCCTGTACATATCGTCGATCTGATTGCTGTTGGCGGCAGTATGCACCTTCCCCTCTTCATGATATTGTCGTCCATCGATAAGTATTGTCGCCATCGAGTCTTATTGCACATGTACACATTGTTTAACACCCCCACCCCCCACCCCCCGTTTGAAAGTAGGATTAGTTAAAATTGTTTTGTGTTAAATCACAAAGACTAGTCAGGGACACACTGTTGGTGTTTTGGGACAACCCCCTTCCTTCCCCACCCTTACTGTACCCTAGGGGTTCTTCGATTTTTATAAAGAAAATATCTTTATTTGATACATTCACAAAGTATTATAATTAAAATCCAAAATATAACATAAAACTAACCTTTTGAAAAAAAAAAATCACAATCACTGACACTAGCGTCTTTAGACGGATTCTAGCTTGTCACCTTTGCAGCATAAAACTCTGTAATGCAAAATAAAAAAATGCTTTTTTTGTTCTGAAAAAAAGGCCAGCTTTTATTCAACTGAAAGCTATGGAAAGTCATAGGGGACCCCCATGTCATGTTCTATATATTTCATTTTAAATCAATCCTGGCCGGTCAGGATGGCAATCATGACCATGGCAAGATTTCAAGCATGACCAAGCCATGATTTTTATAATGTTAACCAAGTCCGGATTGATAACATGGCCAAGTCAAGATAACACATATGGTCATCCTATCTTGGCCGGGCCATGATCAATGTTCAAGTCAGGATTGATAACATGGCCAAGTCAGGATTGATAACATGGCCAATGATAACATGACCATCCTATCTTGGCCGGGTCATAATTCAATCTTGACCAAGTCAGGATTGATAACATGGCCAAGTCAAGATTGATAACATGACCATCCTATCTTGGTCGGTCATCATGGTTCAATCTTAACCAAATCATAACATAGTCATCCTACCTTGACCGGGTCAAGATTCAATGTTGACCGAGTCAGGATTGACAACAAATGGCCATCCTATCTTGGTCGGCCAGGATTGCATTGCGCCAGGATATATTACTTAAAAAACGCAGCCAAGATATCCTGGCCAAGTCATGATGTCTTTCTTCAAAAGCAGCCAAGATTTCTTCAAGCGTCAATCCTGGCCTAGTCGGGATAACATTGCGCCAGGATGTATGATTTCGAAACGCAGTCATGATTTATTTAAGCGTCAATCCTGGCCAAGTCATGATGTATTTTTTCAAACGCAGTCAAGATTTTAGGTCATGATTGCATTGCGCCAGGATGTATTACTTCCAAACACAGTCATGATTCGCTTTAGTATGATAATATGCAAGCGCTTCCCTAACACCAAAAAACCGCTAAACTGTGTATTGCCTTGGTTTCCAGCCTTCCCATTCGTCTCAGCTGACAAGCAAGTTAAGTGCAGGTGATTTTTCCCTTGTAATTGTAAAAATGAATAGCTTAGTTTGCTGTTCTAAATATGTATTTTACGTAATGTTTCTTTGGAATAAATTGTATGAACTGCATTCCTTCTAGTTTTCTTCGAGGAAATTCGAATTTGTCTATCGACACATTTGTATACAATTTAAATAAATGGCTCTTTAATTTTCTATGCAGTTACGAACAAGAAGGAATATGGTATTTTATTTGCATTTAGAATCAAGTTGTTTGACAATACATTCAAAGGAAATTCGCTTACTCTCATTCAAATACAGAACTTTGGGGCTAAATTGAAAAGGGGGGCTTCATCCTACAGACCTACAGACCTACTACATAATATTTTTGCAATTTAAATTTAAACGTATCATTTATATTTTTTTCTTTTTAGTACCAATTGCAGGTAACAGCGATTTGTGTGTACTGACCATCAACAAAACGGCAGATCCATACCAAGACTGGTTATAGATATGTAGGTAGGTTTTTTTACTTCTTGTAATTTTGGTCAAATATATTAAATTTGAATGTTAATCATGTCTTTTTATGAAAAAAATGCTTTTAACTTATGTTGAGTATATTCATAATTAACATATTCATTTAAGAAAATAATTTGTAGCAAACAATGTTTGTTTGACTTCTTGTATTGAAAAAAAATATATCGTTTCTTGAAAATTTGAATATACATGTACATGTATCCTTTTATATTATTTGCAGATATACATGTATATGACAAATGCATGTATATTAAAAAATGAATCAACTGCTGATCCCTCTTCTTTTTTTTCTTTTCTTCATTAAAAAAAATAACTTTCACACTTACAAGTAAATTTTGTACTGTTGTAAGAACAAAAGTACTAAGAAATTCGTGTATAAATATGTATATGTGTTTATATATATATATATATATATATATATATATATATATATATATATATATATATATATATATATATATATATATATAAAGTTTGCTTTGTACACTTGTGAAAGCTAATAAAAAAAAATGAATTAACTGTTAATAGGTTTTTAGATTGACACATGCTGACTGGGGACTATGGGTGTGGAAAACCATTTTGCAGTAATTAGGAATGTGCAGCTGAAAGGGGTACACTTCATTTACAAGCATTTCAAATTTATAATTGTCTATCTACTTTCTATTTGTTTAACAAAAAGGAAATCAGCAATCATGCATAATGGTATTACTTATACAGACATATTCTATGTTTTCCGATGTCAAGGTCAAAGATCAAAGGCCAAGACTGATGTCAGTTTGAAAGAAACCAATCTGTGTATTGGATTTGCAAGACAAAAGATGATGAATTAAATAATTAATTAATCAGTTTCAAGTCCAAAGGTCAGTAAAGTAAAACACGCTTAATGTGAACATGCTTACAACTGATGCTTATAGCGAATTGATTTTCAGTGTCCTTGGCTTTAAATAACATTGTGAACTTGGCAGATATATGAAATAATGTTTGTAATGAAGCAAAATTAGTTATCCCAGGTACTTCTTCATTATAATTGTGTTTTACTGTAATCAGTTAATAACTTGCATCGAATTTCATAATTTTTTAATTTACATATTAAGTTACAAGATGATAATCATTACAAGTTTCTATTTGTGTTTCTAATCATGCATTGTTTCTTCTTATTCTAAGATCGAAAAGCACCATTTAGGTCAAGGTCAACTCCAAATATTGGTTAAAATCTAATTTGTACCAACAACAATCCAGAAGAGGGCAGTCTTAATAGGACACCCATAAAAGAGCTAAACAGGTATAGTTTATCAAGTTCAGAAGTTTGTACATTTTGTTCAAATTGGAGTTTAAAATCAGATGGGATCCAAAATATTTTTAAAAACTTTTTAAAAATATTTTTTTGTCAATTTTTGCTCTAAACTTTGAAATATGCAATGAAATGTATTAATTTTTTTTCAGAGCTCTGTAATAAACGACACCTTTACCAGCTGAAGAATCACCGCTCATCTGTTGAGAGTATTTTTTTGTTTGGCCTACATAGATGTTGATGTTTAAAGAAAGAGATCTTCACTGAATTATTTTTACATAGAAATTAATCTTCTCAGCTTAAGCTGTAAGCTCAAGAGAGCTTTTCTGATTATCCATCGTGCAGCATCTGTTTGTCTCTAAACTGTAATCATTTCAGATTTCTTCCTGAGAACCACTGGTTCCCCCTTCGAAGAGATTATCAAGTAGGGCAAAAATGGGGTGGGGGAGAGGTTATTTAAAAATCTTCTTCTCAAGAACCTCTTGGCCAAAAAGATGAAAGGTTTATGACAAAGGATAGTGTGAATTCTAAAATTTTCAAATCGTGGCGACCATGGATTGCATAGGTCCACAGATTGGGATTTAACTTTAACATGAAATATATAGGAATTCAAATTTTTTTTTTGATGTAGCATAGATTTTGAATTTATCATTAAATCAAAGCACAAGTTTTACATATGAATTGATTAGTCGAGCATCCTCAGGGTAGTGCAAAATTAACTTCATTTGAATCATGGAATCGTAATGGGGGATCCAAGTTTCGCTGGGGAATAAAGAAAAAATTAACAATCTTTTTTTCAGGAACAGTAGGACCAAGACTAATTATGATGCATTTGGCCAAGTGTAAAAACTATACAGGAAGAAATTGTTATCATAAAAATGAAGAAATATTTTTTTTTATTTTAGATATTCTGAAGAAAACAGGTCCAAAATAACTCAGGTGAGCTATGTGGCACATATTCCTTCGTTTATTATATATGTGCAAAGAGTATTGTTTTGTCTCCCAGGCAAATACTATGTAGTATGAAAAACTTTTATTCTTGCATTTTAGTATTGTTTTTAATCTTCAAAGGTCCTTGATACAAGAAAGCAATAAATTAGAGTAATATTTGTCTGTGTTATAGATAATATGCATTTTACATATTATTATACAACATTTTACCTTGGGGATTTGCTATCACTAACATGTAACTTTGTATATGTAATTAAAAACTGAAACTGAACTTTTAAAGAAATGCAAAAAGAGTTAAAGCATATGTCTTGTGTTGTATTTTCTGAAAAAAGACACACGTTAACCATGTAGAATAAAAAAAAAACTACATGTAATTAGAGGCCCAAGGACCTTGAATGGATCTTTTGATAAATTGCACAATGTATCACATCTATTTGAAACCTCTTTGTGTCCTATATAATTTAGATTGAAGCGTTGAAATCCCTGATGTAGGTCAATTTGACCTACATTTTGGTTAGCACACTCTGAGAACCCAAGATTCCTAAACTGACAAAGTTTGATGATTCTAAGCCCTTTATTATCTTAAATATTCAGAAATAAATTTTCAAAAGTAGGTCATGGTGATCTACTTTTTAATTAAAATACTTCAAGGACCAATAATGCATTAACCCACAAAGGCTGATGATTCTTGGCCAATTGGAGTTTTAATATTTGAATATAGCCATAAAATTCTAAGAGTAAGTAACAGAGAATTACTTTACATTTGACACAGTCTGAACACCAAACATACATCAACTGACAAAGTTTGATGATTCTAAGCCAATTAGTACCTGAAATACTGTAGATTCCTTATTTTACGCGAGTACTTAATATCGCGAAATGGCTCAAGGGCGTCAAATCGCGAGAAAAATAATTAGCGAATGGGTGATTTATCTAGAGATTTTACATACATTAAAGCACCATAAAAATAAAAGCGAGTAAATTTATTTCGCGAGTGGTGCTTCTCGCAATATTACGCGATAATTAATTCCTCGCGTATATTTAGGAATCTACAGTATTTAAATATAGCCATAAAATTTCAAAAGTAGATCATGGTTACCTACTTTTCAGTTGACATTCTCAGAGGACCCATGATGCATCAACTGACAATGTTTGATGATTCTAAGCAAATTAGTACCTGAAATATTTAAATATAGTCAAATCATCTATTTCATTATAGATTCAATATAGCCCCATCCTAGTACCAAAGCCCCTGATCCAAGGGCCAATATAAACACAATTTTGAAAAAGTTGCCCTTGCTTATCATAACTACATACTTAGTTTATCTGCTAAATGCCCAGGGACAGAGAAGTAGATTTCAAAGAAATAATGCATTTTCACTATATAATCAATAGAGCCCCACCCTACAATGTAACACCAGAACCCCTGACCCTGGGGCCACAAATTTCACAATTTAGGAAGGGACCCCCTTGCCCATCATAACTATATAATTACGCACGCCGACGGACGAAAACAGATTGCAATAGGTCACCCGAGTGACTCAGGTGACCTAATAAAAGTCTGCATGGAAAAAGAATAGAGTTAAAACATTAATTTATTTGGAGTATTCATAATTTCAAATACTGACCAGAGATGAATCATATATATTAGACGGACTTAAACATGTATAATTATAAAAATTGGACAGTCATACAAGGCCCCACATTATTTTCATTTTTAGCTCACTTGAGCTGAAAGCTCAAGTGTGCTTTTCTGATCACCCGCTGTCCGTCGTCCGTCCCCCTGTCCATCTGTCTGTCCGTCTGTAAACTTTTAACATTTTCAACTTCTTCTCAAGAAACACTGGGCCAATTTTAACCAAAGTTGGTACAAAGCCTCCTTGGGTAAAGGGAAATCAAAATTGTTAAAATGAAGGGCCAAGCCCCCTTACAAGGGGAGATAATCAAGAAAAGGCAAAAATAGGAAGGGGTCATTAAAAAATCTTCTTCTCAAGAACCATTAATATAATGGGCCAGGAAAGCTGAAACTTATGTGGAAGCATCCTGGGGGTAGTGTAGATTCTAAATTGTTAAAATCATGACCCCCCAGGGGGTAGGGCTGGGCCACAATAGGGAATCCAAGTTTTTCACCGAAATATATAGAAAAAATCTTTAAAAATCTTCTTCTCAAGAACCACTGAGCCAGAAAAACTAAGACTTATGTGGAAGCATCCTGGGTTAGTGTAGATTCTAAATTGTTAAAAATCATGACCCCAGGGGGTAGGTCGGGCCAACTATAGGGAATCCATGTTTTGCATTAAAATATATATAGATTTTTTTTTAAAAATTTTTTAAAAAAATCTTCTCAAGAACCACTGGACCAGAAAAGCTACACTTATATGGAAGCATCCTGGAGTAGTGAAGATTACAAATTGTTCAAACCATGACCACTGGGGATAGGATAGGGCCACAATAGGTACATGTATTTCATGGGGGAAAGTCTGGTGAAGAACAGCAGGGCCAAAGTTACTCAGGTGAGCATTATGGCCCATGGGCCTCTTGTTATGAGTTTGAACAAGTGACATCAATAATCTATAATGCTTTCTTTGACTGTGTCTTCAGAATAAAGTCTGCATGTTTAAATAATTTTTTGGTCCAACACATGTAAAACGTAAAGATAATGAACAGTGATTGGTCTCAAAAATTGATCTTGACTGAAAATAAAATCTACAATTGTCAACCTATCACACAACGTGAAAATATTCCAATTAAATTAACAATACCAAAGTAAGTGTGCTTCACTAAAACCATATCAAGTGTCTTGATCCTTTGACCATGTAAATAACAAGATTTTACGCATAAAAATATGTTATTGTATCAGAATGTCTTCCAAAAAAAAAACTTGATCTTTGACAAAGTCATTCTAAAACATATACGAGGGGTGATCAAAATGTTCGCGAACTATCTCTATATTTACAAAACCACAATTCAGATCAGAATGAAATTTGGCACACATATAGTCACACAGATATTCTATAAATAGCAGATGTTATGTAATGTTTTTCTCCATGTTTGTGACGTCACAATGTGAAAATGACGTCAATATGTAGGTGACTTGTGACAAAATTTTTTTGACTCAGTCATACTAGAGCAACAATCGGCTGTAAAGTTTAACGTGTACCTTGGGAATTCCTTTGCAGTAGCATATAATAATTTGTATAAGGTTTATGAAGTCAAAGGACTTGCCAGAAGGTCAGTCATTAATTAGATTGGTTGTTCAGTGAAGGAAGGGAGATGGTTAAAAATGATGTTTGTTCTGTTGCCCAGTGAAGGCAAGCTGGGGAAGAGAAGAGTCCTTAGTCGAGCAATTTGTTATGAAAGATCACAAAATAGAAAGAAAAATAGTTGAATGTCTTAACAATAATGTAAATATTAAATCCCTAAAATTTCGTTTACTTTAGACTTTAAACATATCAGATATGATAAGAAGAAGGCGCCCATACTTTATCAACATTGGATAAACGACGCTCCCAAGACAGGGGACTCTGGTTGTGATGGTCACCATGCTCATTCTGGGAAATGATATCCTATTCACTAGGGATGGCAATCGAATACAGAATTGCCAATCGGTTAACCGCAAGACGTTCCGACCGAATAGTCGGTTAATCGTATCCAAAATTTTTCGACATATTCCTCCATTGTAAACTCTGCTTTACTCAAATAAGCAAAACTATACAGTAGTAATATTATGCATATATTAGATCTGGAAACTACATATATTTTATTTCAATTTTAATAGGCAAAAAATTATTTAATTAATGAATAAATAAATATTATAAAAGAAAGTAAAGAAGAAAAAGAAAAAAAGATACTCATGAAACATGCCTAAAGTATCATAAACATTTTTTAAAAATCAGAAGAGATGTCATCATAATGAAGACTAAGTATGTACTATCGCTTGTTTAATAGGTAACTACAAAGGATAGTTGAGGTTAGGTCACATTATAATCAGTTCACAGTATTCTACAATGTACGATCATTTAATTAAAATCATAAAAGACAAACAAGTCAGACTGAGGAATGACATGGTGTTTGAACAGCAATTAACAACTGATCAATTTCCCAATTCGGAGAGCCTTAAGTGTCTCCGAATTGGCTTGCTTATGGATAAAAATGAAAACATTTTAGATATTTTTATTTTTTAGATTGAATTTTAAGGACATTGTGTTCAAATTTACGCATGTAGTAATTTTTCCCGACTAACCGATTACAGATTTTCTAACCGATTACCATCGTTACGACCGAGTAACCGGTTAACCGATTAAAAATTGCCATCCCTACTATTTACCCATTCTTTTGCCGAGATTTGGCTATTTCTGACAAATGGACTGTTTTTGTTATAAAATATAACTTGCATTAAGAAATATAAGACTCGGAAAAATCTTTTAGCTTCTGTGAACAGAACGCTACGGAGCACGTCACGTGACCGCCTGTATCACGTGATTCGCGCATGAGCAGAACGATGACAGATATGCATTTAAATCAAAGAGGACTACGTTAAAAAATAATGAGCACTAAAACCTTATTTAATTTCTATTATGGAAGTAATTCAATTAGTTCGCGAACTTTTTTATCTACCCTCGTAAAATGAGTTTTGCAAAAGCAATCTCTTTTCATATTATTCATGTGAATTCTATGGATTATATGTCCTTATTTTATTGCACCAAGCACAAAATATCCACAGGAAGTGAAATTAGTGGCATAGCTAAGCATCCAGGCTTCCATATCCTAAAAAATAAACAATCAACTATCATCTTTAGTCTAACTAGCATTTTGATTTCAAATGAAGGCTTTAGAATTTTGTGTCAGCTTGTAAGTCACCTTCCTCTAGTAACTATTGATACCCTTTCATACAATACATGTATGTACAAGTAATTAATGAAAAATACAAATCATAAATCATGCATTGATCCAGGTACTTTGAGAGGCTTTTTAGTAGGTGTGCCCCCCTCCCCCCTCCCAAAAAAAAATTCCTGAGACCTTGCAAAATGCATGTAAAAGGAGCAATTAAATTTTCCATAGAATAAATGCCATTGTTACCTCCAGTTTGCTACTTTACAGCTGATTTTATTTATACCTTTGAAGCTTTCACATGCTCTAATCAAATATCCTGTCTCTTATTCCTAAAATTAATGCTTTTGGATGGAAAAGTTTGATTGCAATTAAATACATATACTTATTACATAACAAAGGTAAAAGTATAAAAAAAAGTCCCATTGGCCACAACGCTCACCTGCATATTTGTGGCCCATCATGTTCATCAGCAGATTCATTTTTAGATATAATCCCATATTAAATCTAAATTGATAACTTACTACAAATCATTTCTGGAGGTTATGATTTGAACAAACTTGAATATACACTATCTGAGGATGCTTCCAAATAAATATGTCTGATCATGGCTTTACAGTTCCTGAGAAGACGATTTTTAAAACTTTTTATTATATATATATACCCATGTAAAACTTTGATTGACCATAGTGGTCACACCCTAACCTGGGGGTCATGATTTGAAAAAAATTGAATCTACATTATGTTTAGAAGCTTTCATGTAATTTTCATTTTTTTTCTGGTCCAGTTGTTCCTGAGAAGCTTTTTAAATAACCTCACCCCATTTTTATTTTTTCTAAATTATTTCCCCTTGGAAGAATTTGTGTAACCCTTTATTTAAACAGAATTGTATTCACTTTACCCAGTCACACTCTGTACCAAATTTAATTTAAATTGGTCCAGTGGCTGTTGGAAAGAGGATGAATTTGTAAAAAGTAAAGGATGACAACAACAGGTGAGCTAATAATGGCTGAGTTGTGAATCCCTGTGTTTTAGTCTTTAGTTGTTTTGTAGAACAGGCCCCTTATACCTAAATCTAAACAAGAGATGTTAATGAAACACTTATCCCCCCCCCGGACATACATTATAGCAGGGTTGTCCCTAGGAATTGAAATAGGAGGGGACATTAAAAAAGTAGAAAGGGTTCTGGGGTTCTTCCCCTAACAGAGAGTTGAGGGGAAATACCAGAATAACCGAGGGATGTCTTTATAAGTGGGGAAATTCCCCGGCCCCCGGATCTTAGGGACAACTCTGTTATGGGGTGCACAAGCATTTATTATAGGCAGTATACATTATGGGCAGTGTACATGAAAATGAAATTGACCTTTTGAACCTAAAATCAATAGGGGTCATCTACCGGTCATATCTGAGATGCATCAGCCAGAAGTAGTCTTCTACATCACATCTTTGGCAAAAACACATTTCTCGTGATATGTCAGTAATTAATTTGTTCAACCTTTGCAGAGATAATGAACAGAAAGCTAATAATTGGAATTTTTCTTAGTCCAAGGGCATAACTCTGTCAAAAATTGCTCGATCTACCCAAAACATAACTTGACCTAGATATTTTTATGATAAATCTATATACCAAATTTCATTTCAGTATATCCAACCTCTGCAAAGAAAATGATCGGAAACTGCAAATAATTGGAAATTTTCTATGTTAAAGGGGCATAACTCTCTCAACAATTGATCCACCGTACCCAAAACAGAACCTGATCTAGATATTCATATGATAAATCTGTATACCAAATTCCATTACAGTATGTGCAACCTCTGCGAAGAAAATAAACGGAAACTGTTGGTGGACCGACAGACAGACTGACCGACAGCAGCAAAGCAATATGCCCTCCCTTCTTTGAAGATGGGCATAATAAATGTACAAACTTCTGAACTTCAAATGAAATATATGGAGATAACGAACAGTATTCAAGCTCAAAAGTCCATTATACAATACAAAATAGGAGCAGAGCAAACACGGACCTCTAAACATCAGAGGTGGGATCAGGTGCCATGGAGGAGTGAGCATCTCCTGCCGACCGGTCACACCCGCCGTGTGCTCCTTGTCATGATCGGGAAATAACGGGAAAATCCGTCGACAATTCAGTGTGTAAATAATGATCTAACAATTAGTATGAAAAACGTCAGTCAGCATTTGACTCAATGATAAATTGTATTTGCTGACAAGGTCATTGTATCGACCATAGAACTTACGAAACGATGACTTTAAACGCGACAGCTGATATTCTTGTTTCATCAACTTATTTGTCAATAATTTACCTCGTTTTAGAAATTGTACATACGTAAAGCATGCTCTTGCGTATCGAATCAACTGAGAGATATATACCCCGTATGCAGGTGATGAAGGTATATTGCTGCATAAGTAAGGGAAGTTGACGATTGAAAAGTTAGTGTCATCACGTTTATCATAAAGCTTGGTTGTTAGATTACCATTAACGTCTTTTTCAAGTAAAATATCCAAATATGAAACAGATGTGTCAGACTCTGTGGTATCTTTTATCTCAAGTTCACCAGGATATATCGTATCGACATAAGAATGAAAATAGCCATTGTTAATTGACAATACGTCGTCGATATATCTAAATGTCGAGTTGAACGCCACAGCAAGTGTTTTATTCTTTTCACGTACAAGATTTTGGACAAATTCTGCTTCATATGAATACAAAAAAAGGTCTGCTAATAACGGGGCGCAATTGGTACCCATAGAAATTCCAATAGATTGTTGGAAGACCTGGTCTCCAAAAACCACATAGATATTGTCAATCAGAAACTCAAGCATCTTTTTAATGTCAACTTCAGAGTACTTGTGTGTACAATCAGAATGTTTTTTAACAAAATAATTTTGCAAATGACCAATGACAAGGTAAATATATTTACGAGTTCCATTTTTATTGAAACTGGTGAACTATACCTGTTTAGCTCTTATATGGGTGTCCTATTAAGACTACCCTCTTTTGGATTCATTTGTTTGTACAAATTAGATTTTAACCAATATTTGGAGTTGACCTTGACCTAAATGGTGCTTTTCGATCTTAGAATAAGAAGAAACAATACATGATTAGAAACATAAATAGAAACTTGTAATGATTATCATCTTGTAACTTTATATGTAAATTAAAAAATTATGCAAGTCATGCAAGTTATTAACTGATTACAGTAAAACACATTTATAATGAAGAAGTACCTGGGACAACCAATTTTGCTTCATTACAAACATTATTTCTTATATCTGCTAAGTTCACAATGTGATTTAAAGCCAAGGACAATGAAAATCAATTCGCTGTAAGCATCAATTCATTGTAAGCATGTTCACAATAAGCGTGTTTTACTGTACTGACCTTTGGACTTGAAACTGGTGCATTAATTGATTCATTATCTGTTATCGTGCAAACCCAATACACAGAGTGGTTTCTTTCAAGCTGACATCAGTCTTGGCCTTTGATCTTTGACCTTGACATTGGAAAACATAAAATTTATCTGTATAAGTAATTCCATTATGTGTGATTGCTGGTTTCCTTTTTGTTAAAACAAATAGAAAGTAGATAGACAATTATAAATTTGAAATGCACATTCCTAATTACTGCAAAATGGTTTTCCACACCCATAGTCCCCAGTCAGCATGTGTCAATCTAAAATACTATTAACAGTTAATATTTTTTTTAAATATACATGCATTAGTCATATACATGTGTATCTGCAAATAATATAAAAGGATACATGTATATTCAAATTTTCAAGAAACTTTTTTTTCAATAAAAGAAGTCACACAAACATTGTTTGCTACAAATTATTTTCTTAAATGAATATGTTAATTATGAATATATCCAACATGAGTTAAAAGTACTTTTCCATAAAAAGGCATGATTAACATTCAAATGACGTCCGCTTGGTAAAAGACATTCTTGCCAGAAATAAGACAGCAATCCAAAAGGAAATCAATGAATTAGTGGAATCTATCTATCCAACCTCCTTGGACAAAGCAGCAGATGTACGAAACCCACTGAGTCAACTAAATGTGAAATATGAAGAACTCTCAATAGCCATAACAAAACATGGCGAGGACTGGCACAGAGAAATTGATTAACTTGTCAAAAAACTTAAATCTGAAGTTAGGGAGATGAAAAACAAACATAATGAAACTCTTAAAGCACAAAAGCAAAGAGATCTAGTTTATACTGATTACAGTAATAGAACTGTGAATATTGTGAAGAATGAGAAAATAGAAGAGATGATCAGACTACAGAACTGGAGACCTAGCGGTGTCTGTAGTATTTCCTCTGGTGAACTCCCGGTTATCATGGATAGTGATCATTACAAAAAATCAAAAGCTGTCCGTTACTCTGGTTCCACTGAGAAACAAACCATTCAGTTTGATGATAAAGGCAACTCTCTATATTCACAAAGTCTTTTATTCAAACACATTACGGAGAACAGAAAACTGGGTATCTGTATTGCTGGAGCTGTAGTGGTGGTCAATCAGGCCGGGAAACTGAGATTCAGGTACACTGAACATACTCCTGCTCCAAAGAACCAACCATTTAGTCCACTAGAAATCACCACAGACAGTCAGAGTCACATCCTTACAGCTGATAACAACAATGCCTGTGTCTACATCATAGACTAGGATGGACAGTTTCTCCGTTACATAGACTATGGACTGAGTGCTCCCTGGGGACTGTGTAGAGATACTAATGACAATCCTTTTGTTGCTCAAAGGGGAAACAGACAAGTGAAGAAAATAAAATATCAAAAGTGAACTCAACTGAAACAAATATTACTGATATACTGTGTAAACAAATGGTGATATTTGTGTTTGTTTACACTTTTAATTTGTCAATTAATTTCATAATTCACAGATTATGTGTACAAGAGAAAATTTAAAAAAAATATATACCCAAAATTCCCTTCAGGATTAAAGATGACCAATTAAACAAGTATTTCTTTCACTCTGTGAAAAGAACACAAAATATTTTTTGCAAATCAATACCTAACAAAACAGATATCTTTTATTTACTGATCACATTCCAGATATTTTCAAACTGTACAATCGGTCATTAATCAAATGGAAGTTGACAAATACAGGTCATATATATCATAAAATCTCCACAATATAAATGTAATTAAAAGGTACAGTCTCTACTTACCATCAACTTGAAATACTAAAAAAGATTCGCAACATTTAGCCAGAAACATTCCACTTGGTTTACTAACTGACTACGCTTAATGTTGCTTCAGTCAAGGATTGTGACCACAATTTTATTAATTGTCATCATTTGTTTTAAAACATCAAATTATTTAACAATATTTTACTCATATTTTTCCTTTTCTTGTTCAGAAAAGTTTGTGTTTTAGATTTGACAGAGTGAATAAGAGATGATATGCTCTGTGATTCTGGCTTCTTAGCTGAGTGTTCAGTGTTTATATTGTCACTCTCTGATTTCCGTTTTTGTCCGCTGACAGTTTTCTTGGTATTTCCTGATGTCCTTCGCTTAATTTTTTTTCAATAATTGCCTCCATTGATTTAGTCATCTTAAATTCTGGTGCTGATAAATCAATGTTGTACAGATGGGAATAAAAAATGACAGTAAATCTGTCATTCTTCTCATCTGAAATTGATTAGATATCTATGAAATACGTCCGAAATTCATTAGTGATCCTGAATGTTATATTAAACAATGTAAAAAGGTAAAGATAGCAAGGGTGATTGATTTAAAAAAAAATCTAATATGTTGACGGTGCGACTGTTAGGGCGACCGCTGACACCTATACAGTTTTAATTTACATCCGTGTCTTCAAAACGCACGTGACATTTTGTATGTCTAGATTCTGACCTCACATGACGTCTGTGTGAGTTACATTACCAAACCGACAGTGCTATTTTAATGAAGAACGTTTAGTCTACTGTTTTTCTGCAATATCCCTTAAATTAATGTGATTTGATTTTTTTTAACTTTTCTTGCTATCGCGAAAACGTAGTTTGCGGCGAGATACAGTCCGTAAGGCATTAAGGGACCATAGGTTACGGTGAAAAAAAAATTCATTTCTATCAATGTGCAAAGTCCAGGTTTTGTCTTCACCCAAGCGTTTAAAAGCTCACAGTGACGAGCTTAGCGCCGCATGCTGCGCTCGCTATATACAATACAAATATAAAATGAAGGCATAAAACACGGACCCCTGGAAATTCCATCAGGTGCCTTGGAGGAAAAAACATCCCCTGTTGACTGATCACACTTGCCGTGATCCCTTTGCATTGCAACATTTCGTAGTCAAATTCAGTTTTAAAACAAAGGCCTAACAATAAGTATAAAAAATTTCAGCTAAAATAGAAACAATGATATTTGTAACAAGGTCATTATAACAACCATAGAATTTACGAAATGTCGATTTTAAAAGAGTGTGGAAATCCCTGAAACATCAACTTATCTGTCAGTAGCTTGCCTAGGTTGAAAAATTGATCATACTCAGAGCAAACTCCTGAGTATCGAATAAGTTAGGAGACATAAATATCTGTCAGTAAAATGAAGAATATCCCAGACTTTAACCAAAACACATTTAGAAAACTGAATGACTCAATGAGAAAACTAAAACCACACTTTTCATAAATACCTGAAAATCTGGATTTTGGTCCACAGACGTTTTCTTCTTTTTGTTTGGTTCTTTCATGATTGACTTCAGATTGAAATGCTTTCTATTGTCTATTTCTTCATCCATCATCAAAAGTCCCAGCTCATCCTAAAGTAAAACTAGTGCTAATTGTAACGGGAAACGTTACAGATGTTCCCCAAAATAATGGATTAATCAGATAATCACATTATTTGAGAGTAGCAAGGCCCAGATTAATCAGATAAACTAGCATTTTTTTTAAAACCACCTTTTAATGCTAGAAGCCAGTCTATATACAAGAAGGCCCATGGACCATATCGTTCACCTGAGCACTGGCTAAAAAAAGCATGGAATCAGTTCAGTATTGAAAAGTTTAACTATATAAGTGATCCTAACCTATTCCTGAGGAAAGATCTAAACAAACTTAAATCTAAACTCCTTGAGGATTCTTCTGTATTTCTTTGACTAATTGTTTCTTTAAAAGATATTTTAAAGATTTGTTCCTATACATTTCTATGTAAAAGTTTGATCTTCTATTGTGACCCAACCCTTCACACAGGGGTCATGATTTGAAAAAAAAAACTCGAACTTAAACTAACTGAAGATGCATTTGAATTAATCTAAGTAATTATGGCCCTGCTAGTCTTGTGAAGATTTTTAAAGATATTACCCATATATATCTAAGTATTACGTTGTCCCCCCTGTTGTGGCCCCACCCTACCCCGGGGGTCATTATTTCAACAATCTTGAATTTTAACTGCCTGGAGATGCCTCCATATAAATGACATCATGGCTTCGTTGTTCTTGAAAAGAAGATTTTTAAAAAATTACCCTACATACTTCTATCATAATATTACACTTTGATCACCCATTGTGGTCCCATCCTACCCCCAGGGTCATGATTGAGAAAACTTGATTCTTAACTACATCTGTAACTGAGAATGCTTCTGTATTAATATGACCAATTGTTGCCTTGCCGTTCATGATAAGAAGGTTTTTAAAGTTTTATCCTATATATTCCTATGAATAACTTTTATCCCCTGTTGTTGGCCCACCCTATATCAAGGGGTCATGATTTAAAAAAAAATGAATCTGAACTAATTGAAAATGCTTTTGAATTAATATAACTTATTATGGCCTTGCTTGTATTGAGATGATTTTTAGGTCAAGTTAGCCTTTCTGATCAAAGAATGTTCTGCATCCGTCTGTCGTCTGAACACTTTTCGCATTTTTGACTTCTTCTCAAGAACCACTGGGCCAATATCAACCAAACTTACCACAAAGAAACATTGGGTGAAGGGGATTGACGTTTTTTCCACAGGAAGTGCCTCGCCCTCTTTCAAGGGGAGATAAGTAAGAGTTAGTGAAAATTTGGTGGCATCTTTTAAAAATTTTCTTTTCAAGATCCACCGGGCAAGAAAAGATGAAACTTAAGTAAATGCTTCATTACATACTCTAGATTCAAATTTGTTTATATCATGACCCCTGGGGGTAGCGCGGGGCCACAAGAGGGGGTCGAAGTTTTATTACATAGAAATATACAGGAAATGTCTTTAAAAATCATCTTCTCTAGAACAGCAAAGCCATGATTAGTTTTCTTATAATAGAAGTATCCTCAGGTTGTGTATATCCAAGTTTCGGGATGTTTCTAGTATGCCGGTCCCCAGAATCACGCGATTGCGCATGAGCAGTTATTTCCCTTGCCGTTGCTATGCAGAATGTAAACAAACCGCCATTTTCCCCTCGCTTCAACAAAACGCATTCGATCGAGTGATTAGGGTTAGAGTATATTGTTTTAAGATTGGAACTGTTTTATAAATCCACTCTTAAATCTTCCTGACTTTGGGCTAATTCATGTAATTTTTGCTTACAAAAGGCACTGCCAAGTGCCTTTTGTGACCAAAAACTTGCATGAATCAGCCTAATGTCGATACGCGCCGATGTACCATCTTATAGGAGTAAAGCATGAAACATGCAAAACTTAAACAAACCGTTAATTAAATATGGCATTGTATGCGATCCACGGATTAGGTTAGTGTATATATAGCTCGGATATTGTAACTGTTTTATATTCACCCATGCTCGCATCTATATCACTTTGGGCTTATTCATGCAATTTTTGCTTACAAAGAACCGGAAGAACAGGAAATTTTTGCGAAACTTGGATGAATTAGCCTTGGTCTAATGATGAAACATGTCCGATATTGTGCACTAAGTTTTGGCGAGTAATTGGTAAAAGCGACTTACCGTTTACTTATGCTAGATATCCTAACCTCCTAATGTCCATATTCAGAATATTTTTTTCTTTCAAATCAATGGTGATGCTCAATTAAATCAGCCAATTACTAGTAATTAGTTATCACTTGTAAAATCCCTGCATTTCTCACAAAAATCTCGCAATTTTAGTAGCATTTCACTTTGAGCTACTTCTTCATCAGTCTTCATTACGTCAAAACACAAGTGACGCACGTCATGAATATTTATGAGATTACGTCAAAAACTGATCATGTGACCACATTCCTAAACAACGCAAAATGGAGTTTTATCTACTTAACAAGTACGTTATTTTACGAAACCTTTAAATTCTCATTTAAAAAAACTGTGTTTAAAAACCAGTTTTTTAAACCCAATTTTTCACAAGGAACACGATTTTTGGCTCAATTTTGCGATTTGTGGCCTTTTTATCGATTTTGTCGATCGCGTGATTATATTGTACACCGCCTTCGGTGGCACCTATTTTAGCGCCATATTTATAGGGACCGGTATACTAGAAGTTTTCCAAGTTTGTTCTTATCATGACCCCTAGGGTTAGGACAGGGCCCCCAAAGGGGGTCAAAATTTACCATAGGAATATATAGGAAATATCTTTTAAATTTTTTTTCTCAAGAAAAGCTGAGAGCTATTCTAAGAAAAAATCACATTTTCAATTATCTTCTCCCCCACCCCAAAAACTTAAAATTGCATTTTAATAACCACCAAACTAATATTTTTAATTGTGTTTTAATTATATTTTTCAAATACTGTAATTTATCTAACATCGTCGGATGAGTTGTTCGCTTTAGGCATCTGTTGAAAGCAGGTTCTTGCTACAGCTTAATAAAATAGGGATCTGTGTATCTGTTTCTAGATTATGCATGGCATTGTAATCTGTAAAACTAATACATGTACACATATACCATAAAAAATGACATTTCCAAAATTAATTAAAAAATATATAGTGTGAATTATAGCGTATTATTGACAGTTGTTTTCACCTTGTACATAACAATTAACAACAATTAACGAAATAGTTCTCAGTTCTGGTTCTTTTTTTCGGGGGGGGGGGGGGGGGGTTGAACACACTAAAAGTAATGCAGGGCATTGTTTATTTAGTGAAAATTTCGATAAAAAAATATTGAATGAAGTCTAAATTAGACCATGGGTACATACAAGTTTGAAAAGTTAACACCTAACAGCTTAAGGACCAGTATGTTATCGACATAATACTTTGATTTCAAACCCGTATCTTATCTTCATTTTACTCTGTAGGTGGTGTAAAGTAAAATAGTTGACTTGCAAACTCCATAGTCATGCTCTAAGATGTTCATGATCAGATACGTTTATTTTTACTTTCAGTTTAAAATAAACCGATCTTTCTGATTGTTTTAATTTCATTTAATTTACCAATGTAATAATGTTTGATTAAACTGGTGAAAAGAAACTGGAGCACGGAGTCCAAAGCACATTATATCAAGGAATCTGTGTCCCAATCCTCCACCGTCAGTGCAGTCATAGTACCACATGCTTATATATGTATCTGCCATTCTTTCTGGTTTGTTCGATATTACTTTCACTTTCAATGTAAACACACTTTATCACTGTTTAGGGTGAGTGGTTGATAAAAATAAATATCGTCATTTATTGATTCATACAAAATGAAAAGGACACTTTGCAGTGATTATTTTGTAAGGGTAAATACATCCACCCATCTAAAGATATATCATAGGAGGACAACCACCCATACAAATTTAATTGATCTAGCCCCCACTTCCGATAAAAGCATAGGTAATCAGAGAATACAGAGCTCACCTCAACGAATGTTGTCTTTAGGTAAGGCAAAGTCCCAAACTAATAATCTAGTAGTGTGCATTCCTAGATGTAACATTTATGCAATTTTGGTCCGATAAGACTTGCAGTTATTTGGGAATTGACTTATTTAAAAACTTTAAACTAGCCACTCAGCCAGAAAATGTAAGTCATATCCAACATCTAACGGGAAAATGTGGGTCAGATCAAGCATCCGAAGTGTGCATCCTTTGATGTATCATCCATGCAAGTTTCGTCAACATAGGGCTTATATTTAATGCAAATGAGACCTGCTCCAAAAACCTTAACCTGCTCCAAAAACCTTAATCTGCTCCAAAACATTAATCTGGTCATTCTTCAGCTAGAATTGCAGCATCTGAATCCTTGACTGCTACAAAGAAACATACTAGAAGCATCCTCCATGCATCTCTGATAAATATTACACATCATGGAGTATCTGAAATTTATTTCCCATAAGGATTTTTCGGTGATACAGAAAATATACAGGGTGTTATTATCCCCTAATAACCAAGTTAAAGGGGATAAAGTAACGCATGTGTGTGGGTGAGTGAATACTTGCTTATAACGGAGAATGATGTTTTTTTTTTTAATATCGGGATCAATGTGCTCTTTTGCAAGGGAATGCCCCGTTTTGCGCGAGGTGCTCTTCTTTGAGTTGGATCTCTCCTTTCTCTATGGAGCATCTGTGTAGTTTTTTATGTTTTAATGTTACAAGTGCTTTATGTATTTTATTAATTGAGCTAGAGTGTTAAATAAAAAAAGAATACCTTGTGTGTAATTGAACATGTATTATTTTCCGACTGAATATAAACCATTCCTAGATCCTGCGTAGAAACACCCCCTCTTTTTACGAAATTACTGGATCTGCTCTAAAATAGTATGAACTAAGGCGACTTTTCTTACGAATAATTACATACTAGTTGCTTGGAAGAAAAATCAAATATATTCTCAAATTTATATGTGTCAAAACGATTAAAACTATTTAAATAATTTTAAGAATGTTTGGAAACTGAATTTGACGCACGCAACGCCATTACAGTTCAGTGAGTAACGTCAACGTTGTTTTGAATCCCCCTACTAAAATGCTCATAAAATACTGATAAAGTGAGATATTTTTAATAGATATGTATATTTGCATTCAGAAAGAGTCAGGCTATCAAAATTTATCAAAAAGTAAATTTGTGAAAATCTGACCAATAATTTGTCATTGAAGTATTTCTACTCTAACAAGTTTCCTTGCAAAAATTACCAGTCTTTTGTGGAAGGTAAAGGAGGATGGTGTTTCCTATATAATCCTTTTGGAAATGAGTTGAATTGCTTATGTCACAATGTTTTAGTCTTTATTTTTAAAACATATTTTAAAAACAGTTTAGAAATAGCTAAATTACAAAGAGACAAAATGCAGATATTTGAGGAACATGTCGTCTGACCTTAAGGGTCCTTTTCCCATGTCGGCAGTCATTTGTTTAACTCTATAAAGCTTTATTGCAAGGTTGTATGTTGGTATTACATGTAATTTCTTACATTTTTTTTAGGTTGGCCAAATCCATTGGCGCTTGGAGCATCGTTCTAGGTATAATGTAGATAAACGGTACACGATATACCGGTGTACATGTGACAGTGAGCAGATATAGTCTGCAGATATTTAAATGCCCTAATCTTGCAGGTGAGGATAAATAAACACCAAACATATAACCAGGGTATGTGCGTCCCCTGATCAAAGTACAGACTGTCGCCATTACTGAAAACAGGTAAGAAATTGAATTATTTCAGAAATTTGATTCAATACAAATTTTTTATTCATATTTTTAGCCTGACATTTTCTAACAATAACTTTGAATTGTCTATTTGACAGAATATTTACTTCTTTTATTGTATGGCTATATCAGTATTCCTCTTCACCTTTCGGTTTGCAAAGTTAAGTCAAACAGGGTTTTCTAACGGTTCCAAATCCCCTTGTGATGGACATATTGTCGATCTTGTTGTTGTCGGCGGCAGTGTGTACCCTCACTTCATCATATTAATTGATACTGTCCATCAATGAATATTATCGCTGGCAACTCTTACTGCATATATTGTAACCCCCCCCCCCTTTAATGAAAGGTGTTTTTTTTTTTTGTTAAATAAAACATAATTGTCGCCCACAAAGGTGTTGGGGGTCATACCCCAAAGTTTCTTCGACTTGCATTAATTAAATATTTTTTCTATGACAAATTTACAAAAGTATTATGACTAAATTTCGAATGACCTAAACCAAACCTGTTATCAAAATTCACACTCACTGATACTAGTGTCTTTGGACGGATTCATATCTGCTATGCAGAACAATGTCTTTTTTGCAAAACAAAAAGAACAATTTTTTATTTGAAAAAGCCAGCTTTCAATCAATCGTAAACTGGTGTATTTCCTATACTTCAGGGCAATATTTCCTGAAAACATGGATCCCCATACAAGTGCCCAAGATTTGATGCGATGTGACCTGTGTGAGACCGCTGTGGTACAGATGCATTGTGATACATGTCTTGTCAACCTGTGTAAGGCATGTGTGGGAGAACACATGATATCTGATGAATCCAAGGACCACAAGGTCGTAAAATTTCAGGCCAGGAAATCAACTCCCCTCTACCCTAGATGTAAAATTCACGCCAATACCAGCTGTGAGTTGTATTGTAAAGATTGCAATATTCCGGTTTGTTCTGCTTGTATTGCCTCCAAAAAACACAAAGAACATGACATTCACTTGCTAAAAGACATTTTTGCCAGGAAGAAGGCAGTAATCCAGAAAGAAATCAATTCATTAGAGGAATCCATCCATCCAACCTACATGGACATAGCAGCAGATGTACAAAACACACTGAGTCAACTTGAAACGGAATATGAAGAACTCCCAACAGCCATAACGAAACATGGAGAAGACTTGCACAGAGAAATTGACAAACTTGTCCAGAAACTTAAGGCTGAAGTTAATGAGATGAAAAACAACCATAAGCAAACTCTGAAAAAACATTTATTAGATATAAATATTTGCATCTCTAACATAAATTATGATATTGAATATTTGCAGAAATTAATGGATTCTAGTGATTTTCTCAAACTGTTAAACTTCCAATTAGACTCTGCGAAGTATAGAATATTACCATCTAAACTTAATGCATGCACAGCACAATTCTCACCACTTGCTATACCAGAACAGATCTCCAAAATGTTTGGAAAAATAAAATCAACAACAATAACAGCTGATGAACATGGTTATAGTTTGAAAAATCGCCAGGAATCATTAGAAGCTGTATCCTCCCCCTTGAAAGAGAACTTACAAGAAACTGGATCCTATCCCCCCCTCAGTCAATGGCTTGGTAAACCAAAAAGTGTAAGAAAATTTACAACAGGGTATACAGGAGAGCAAATGGACACAGAGTATAAAGAGCAACGGGGCTTAGAGTATAAAGAGCAATGGGATACCGAGTATAAAGAGCAATGGGATACCGAGTATAAAGAGCAATGGGACATGGTGTACATGTATAAAGAGCAAAACAGCTCTGATCATAAAGAAAAAAAATTGGACACTAATTATAAAGGAAAAGAGTGTGACACTGATTATAAAGGAAAAGTGTGTGACACTGATTATAAAAGAAAGGAGTGTGGCACTGATTATAAAACAAAGGAGTGTGGCACTGATTATAAAAGAGAGAAGTGTGGCACTGATTATAAAAGAAAGGAGAGAGATAGTGATTATAAAACAAAGGAGTTTGGCACTGATTATAAAATAAAAGAGTGCGTCACTGATTATAAAACAAAGGAGTGTGGCACTGATTATAAAAGAAAGGAGAGCGACAGTGATTGTAAAACAAAGGAGTGTGGCACTGATTATAAAACAAAGAAGTGTGGCACTGATTATAAAACAAAGGAGTGCGGCACTGATTATAAAACAAATGAGTGTGGCACTGATTATAAAACAAATGAGTGCGGCACTGATTATAAAACAAAGGAGTGCGGCACTGATTATAAAACAAAGGAGTGCGGCACTGATTATAAAACAAAGGAGTGTGGCACTGATTATAAAACAAAGGAGTGTGGCACTGATTATAAAACAAAGAAGTGTGGCACTGATTATAAAACAAAGGAGTGCGGCACTGATTATAAAACAAAGGAGTGTGGCACTGATTATAAAACAAATGAGTGTGGCACTGATTATAAAATAAATGAGTGCGGCACTGATTATAAAACGTCAAATGAGTGCGGCACTGATTATAAAAGAAAGGAGTGTGACACTGATTATAAAAGAAAGGAGAGAGACAGTGACTGTAAAACAAAGGAGTGTGGCACTGAGTATAAAAGAAAGGAGTGCGGCACTGATTATAAAAGAAAGGAGAGAGACAGTGACTGTAAAACAAAGGAGTGTGGCACTGAGTATAAAAGAAAGGAGTGTGGCACTGATTATAAAAGAAAGGAGAGAGACAGTGACTGTAAAACAAAAGAGTGTGGCACTGAGTATAAAAGAAAGGAGTGCGGCACTGATTATAAAAGAAAGGAGAGAGACAGTGACTGTAAAACAAAGGAGTGTGACACTGATTATAAAATAAAGGAGTGTGACACTGATTATAAAACAAAGGAGAGATACACTGATTATAAAAGAAAGGAGTGTGGCACTGTTTATAAAAGAGTGGAGAGAGACAGTGATTGTAAAACAAAGGAGTGTGACACTGATTATAAAACAAAGGAGTGTGACACTGATTATAAAACAAAGGAGACATACAGTGATTATAAAAGAAAGGAGTGTGGCACTGATTATAAAAGAAAGGAGTGTGGCACTGATTATAAAAGAAAGGAGTGTGGCACTGATTATAGAACAAAGGGGTGTGACACTGATTATAAAACAAAGAAGTGTGACACTGATTATAAAAGAAAGGAGAGATACAGTGATTATAAAATAAAGGAGTGTGGCACTGATTATAAAAGAGTGGAGAGAGACAGTGATTGTAAAACAAAGGAGTGTGACACTGATTATAAAACAAAGGAGTGTGACACTGATTATAAAACAAAGGAGTGTGACACTGATTATAAAAGAAAGGAGTGTGGCACTGATTATAGAACAAAGGAGTGTGACACTGATTATAAAACAAAGGAGTGTGACACTGATTATAAAACAAAGGAGTGTGACACTGATTATAAAAGAAAGGAGTGTGGGACTGATTATAGAACAAAGGAGTGTGACACTGATTATAAAACAAAGGAGTGTGACACTGATTATAAAACAAAGGAGTCTGACACTGATTATAAAACAAAGGAGTCTGACACTGATTATAAAAGGTTATAATTGTTTTCCTATCAATTTCATTTTCAGATTAAAGACTAAAAGGTATATCACATGTAAGTTTATGTATTTTTGCAAGTTAACATGTCTAAAAAAAACAAGCTAATTTAGAGAATCTGTGTCCCACGCTTAAGGAAAAAAGAAGAGCATGCGCGGATTTAGAGGGGGTCAAAGGGGGGATTGGGGGGAACCACTTTGAGAAGGGTGGGCAGGGCCATAGTAAGTTATGGTATAAAATTTCAAAGCAAAAACTCGAAAGCTTCTCAAGATCCTGGAAATGAAAGTTTTACACACTGAAAGGAAAGTTTTATCCCTCGGATAATCCTCAGGGATATTAAACATATGTCATATATACAGTCTTCAGATTCCAAGATTTGGTTTAAAACAAATAACTCATACAGAAAATTGAAAGAATATAAGGTTTCTATTAGAGATGTATTTGAAGATTCCTTTTCCGATCCCATGTCTTCTATTTCAAAATGTTCTGCGAAAAACTGTAAAACCTGTGACATTTTGATAACTAACACTTCTTTCACCAGTAATCTTACTGGACAGAGCTTCTGTATCTCCGGTAACCGTGCCCGCCTTTGCCGAGATTTCCCCCTGCCGGCCGACATGACAAGTACTCTGAAGTTGACATTAAAAAGATGCTTGAGTTTCTGATTGACAATATCTATGTAGTTTTTGGAGACCAGGTCTTCCAACAATCTATTGGAATTCCCATGGGTACCAATTACGCCCCGTTATTAGCATACCTTTTTTTTATTCATATAAAGCAGAATGTGTTCAAAATCTTGTACGTGCAACGTGAAAAGAAGAAAACACTTGCTTTGGCCTTCAACTCGACATTTAGATAAATCGACGACGTATTGTCAATAAACAATGGCTATTTCCATTCTTATGTCGATATGATATATCCCGGTGAGCTTGAGATAAAAGATACCACAGATACCACAGAGTCTGACGCATCTGTTTCATATTTGGATATACATCACCTGCATACGGGGTATATATCTCTTAGTTGATTCGATACGCAAGAGCATGCTCTACGTATGTACAATTTCTAAAACGAGGTAAATAATTGACAAACAAGTTGATGAAACAAAAATATCAGCTGTCTCGTTTAAAGTCATCATTTCGTAAGTTCTCTGGTCGATACAATGACCTTGTCAGCAAATACAATTTATCATTGAGTCAAATGCTGACTGACGATTTTCATACTAATTGTTAGGCCATTATTTACACACTGAATTGTCGACGGATTTTTCCGTTATTTCCCGATCATGACAAGGAGCACACGGCGGGTGTGGACGGTCGGCAGGGGATGCTCACTCCTCCATGGCACCTGATCCCACCTCTGATGTTTTGGATGTCCGTGTTTGCTCTGCTCCTATTTTGTATTGTTTAATGGACTTTTGAGCTTGAATACTGTTTGTTATCTCCATATATTTTACACAGACAGAATGTATGAATTGTCAACCTTGACCTTTGACCTTTTGACTTCAAAATCAAAAGGGGTCTTCTTTAGGCCATAGAAAATTTTTATGTAAAATTTCATTGTAAAAGCTCCATGGGTTCTCAAGATATCGCGCGGAAACGAAAGTGTTACAGACAGACAGAAATACAAACGGACGGACAGACAGACCAAAAAAATATCCCCCACTTTAATGAAAATGGGGACAAAAAATCCTCAGAAAAGGGGTGGGAGGATGTTACACCATCAATACATCAAGTACCTGCTAATAACTTGAAAGATCTTAATAGGAATTTATATTTGTAAAGTGAAAAACGTGGAGACCGGTCCTTCGGATGAGACTGTATAAACCGAGGTCGCGTGTCGCAGTAGGTGCTGGCAAGAAAAAGATCCCTCACTGCTTAATGGCCATGAGTGCCGAGTATAGGTCAAAATTTGCAGCTCTCCACCGGCAAGTGGTGGCGTCTCCATATGAGTAAAAAATTCTCGAGAGGGACGTTAAACAACAATAAACAAACAATCTATTGGCTATTTTGCTTTCCGAAGGCAATCTGTGTATAAAACTTAAGAGTATCAAAGGGTTCTCAAAATATTGGAAGGTAACTATTGCTTCAGTGACCTTTATGTATCAACCATTTAAGTGACCAAAGCAAAAAACCTTACTCTAACATTTACTGTAACATTTATCTACTTAACATGACCAAACTGTGTATACTAATGATTTAAAAATGAAAGGTTTCAACATGTTGGTCAGAAATCATTTTCTTACTATTACATGCAACTTATCAGCCTAAACATATTGTATTTTTGTCCAGGAATGTGATCACTCACAACAAGCAGTATATGAAAAAAAATTATGAAACAGCCTCCATTTTTAACGGGACAATTTTTAGTTCATCTCAATGAAGTCAGGATGAGTTTATGCTATATCTGGTGATAGCTTCCCAGTTTAAAATTTAAGAGCAAGTCCATGTAATTTTAAACCCTACCTGGACCAAACTTGCATGGATGATGCATCTACGGATGGATACTACCAGACTTGCTTTCAATGCTAAATCTGACCTATATTTTCTGGATGAGTGAACAGGATAAAGGTTTTGGAGTTGGTCAATTCCCAAGTATACTCAGTAACAACAAGTTCTACTTAAACCAAACTTCCCCGGATATTGATCTCAGGATGATCACTAACTAGAAAAATAAATTGATTAACTATGTTTTTAATCTCTTTGAATACACATTCAATTACTATCATTCCAAAAACAGTATGTTACTTTGTTTGATGGAGCATGCTAAAGTTTCAAGTGTTGATCACCATATTTCTCATCGATTGGATGTTTGATTTCAATTAAATGAATACTACTTTGCCTATAAAACGGAGAACACAGCAATACATGGATAATACTGATCAATCACATCGAATGACTGTTTACGAGTTGTACACCTATAGGGTTTAAAAAGGACATTTTATTTGAACATTTAAAACTTGGAATGTATTCATATCATGATCAATTTTGATATTTATAGTGAATTTATTAGTGAGTAAAACAAAACTAGATGCTGTCATAAGACAGTAATACCCGCACTATGTTGTTTGCCTCTCAATGCGCTCTCCTTCAAATTCTGTTAACCAGGGAAGAAGCACACATTTAAATCAAGCATAAATTGCTCTGGTGAACATGCAGCCCATATGGGCCTCTTATGTAAATTTTTCATTATCACTCAGATATTACATAATTTAATAATGTAAATTTTGTTAAAGAGAGAATTTTTTTTAAAGATCTGTGTTAAAAAAAGGGGGGGGGGGGATTTTGGCCCATAATTGGAACCTGTTGAATTTATTGTCAAAACAACTTAATATTATTTAATTTAGTGCATAGTTCTTTTGATGAACTTAAAAAAAATAGATGCCAAAATAACAACTTGTGCAAATTTTTATCAGTATTCTGGTAGGACTCGGAGAACCCCTTTCCAAACCTTGACTCGATCAACTTTTTCAAAATCAATCCCCACCCATGATTTATCTGTTTTCCTGTCATATTTGGAATAGAAAACACAAACTTATGTAAAAATAAAACATTGTATTTAAGGTATTCAATGTATAACGACCATATTTTGTATCTAATAAATGAACGGTCCTATATTTGTAATTATGGTATCATTTTGAAGGTGTTATGAAATAAAATACTCCACCAAAGAAAATTACAAAAAAATGATTATTGTCAAATTAATTGCACATTGAATTTTACATTGAAGTCTATGGACAATGCATGTGTTATTAAGATATTGTAAAAAGTAATTTGAATTTCATAAAAAGCTCTTGGTGAAAATATGCATACACTCTCTCTTTATTAAAATATGAAATAAAATTAATCAATTACCGCAGATATTTTGACGAAATTAAACTTTTCTTCTTTGCATCAAGGGCAGATAACTCTTCAAAAACTTTTAAAGTGCAAAATGACCAGTTTCTTTTATGTTATCAGTCATGTAAATTTGGTTTATTTCACTTTCATTGTTATCTAGCAGTGCATTTTTAATTAGTTTAAAATGATTCAAAATTGTTCAAAATCCCTTAATTATACATTGAATACCTTAATTATTATATAAATTTTACAAATGTACATTTTTTTGGAAAATTTGTAGACCTGCTCATTCCCTTGGAAGTACGTCACACTATGAGCACTACTTTTACCTTTTTGCATTATTGGAAAACACATGGTGTATGTATATCATTATTTCCAGTGGGGATATTAAAAGTTTGTTTTTTAAATGGATGTTTTACTCTATGAAGTTAACAGTAATTACAACAGACGGTTAGTCGCCCGCGTGGCGCAGTGGTTAGAGCGTCTGCTCTAGAGTCGCGGAGTAAGGAGTTGATCCTTAAATCGCGGATTTGAATCCCACTGTGGGACGTGGACACTGGTCCTTTGGATAAGACCGTATAAACCGTGGTCCCGTGTCGCAGTGGGTGCTGGCACGAAAAAGATCCCTCATTGCTCAATGGCCGTAAGTGCCGAGTATAGGACAAAATTTGCAGCTCTCCACCGGCAAGTGGTGGCGTCTCCATATGAGTGAAAACTTCTCGAGAGGGACGTTAAACAACATGCAAACAAACATACAAAACAACAGACGGTTAAGTACATTATGAATATATTATTTTAAAAATTTAGCATAGAACGGGGTAAAATAATCAGAAATTAAAATGATTAGGGGCCTTTAGTTTGAAGAGGGTCAAATATCATTGGAATGCCATATGCAAATTATACACTGAGACAAGTCCCTGGGGTCATTCCGACTCTTCGGAACTGGAAACAAAATGGCTTTCATTAAAGCAAAAGCCCCTTAGACATCTTTGTATTATGACACACTAAATAGGATATATGGGGTCATGACCCCCCGGAAGTCATTCCCAACCAAAAACTTCAAATGATCATATATCTTGAAAAATTAATATTGTCCCTTGAATCATTACGCATTTAATGGTATAAAGGTTATGACCCTCTTGAAGTCATCCTCACCCTAGAACTGG